AAGCAGAGGTTTGGGAGCAAAATGAAGGACCGCGCCCATCTCTGTGTGCATGATTGTGACACTTTGGGGTTTATTTACTAAAGCTGGTTGACTCAGAATCTTGTCCACCTGTGCATGGTAGCCAATCAGCTTCTAACTTCAGCTTGTTCAGTTAAGCTTTAGCAATAAAACCTGGAAGCTGATTGGTTTCCATGCAGAAGTGCACAAGATTCTGAGTCAACAAGATTTAGTAAATAAACCCCCTTGGTCCTCTCGTCTTTACATTGTTCTTAATACGATTTATGTCCAAGGATAAGAGCAGCTGTGATGTAATAGCCGACTTATGCTTCTTGTTCTTTAAATTATTCTCACTGTATTTGCCCCTCCTCCCCTATCCCCTATTTTGTTTTTCCCCCTTTTTTTCTGTACCCAAATTTCTATGTTTCAATAAAAATATATTCAACATAAAATATTTACAAACATGTGAGGGGTGTACTCACTTCTGTGAGATACTGTATATTCACTCTGTGATATACTCATTCAGGTCTGACATGGCAACATTGTGGTATTCAACCGACACCAAACATTACAAGGTTGAATACTCTGAGGGGTACAGCTTTATATGAAGTGTGATCTCCATAAAGAAATGATTTGTGGGATATTTTATGGTGGTGTATATATTTTTTTTCTTAGTTCTGATTTGACATATATTAACCCTGTGATATACTCATTCAGTTCTGACATGGCAACATTGTGGTATTCAACTGACACCCATCATTACGGTTGAATACTCTGAGGGGTACAGCTTCTATCTGGACTTTATGTATTATTTTTAGACTTCTCCCAAGATAGCAGCCATTGCATAAATATGTTACGTTTTCTCCAAGATATCTACTAATTTGCATTTATATAACAGAGTCTCTAGACTCTCCAAATTACAGCTGCATGTATGTCAGCTGACACATCCCTTTTGGAATCTCCCAGTTGCCATGAGCAGCAATACTTTTTTATGTTGGCAGTCCAAGTTTTATTTTCTCTTTTTTTTCTTGTCATGCAGCTCTTGAGGAAGACAATTCACTAAATACAAAGCACAGTGTTCATTCTCTCACTCCCATTCACAATGGCTGGCATCACCTGCTCAATGTACTGCATAGGCAGGTGATTACTTTAATATTGACAGTCATACTAATTTGGAATGCTTTCACACATATGTTCACCATGGTTTATGTTAACTTATGTAAATATATATTTCTCTCTTGTGTGAGATTTTCATTTATCCAGGTGGTGTACTTAGTATGGTTGACACCTAGAGAAGATTTTTAAACACCTCTCCCCATGCTCCACTGCACATCAAAATAATTTTCAATAATAATCACAAAATTAAATAAATGCCAATAAATTGCAACAAAATGGAGACATTAAACATTTTCTTTTTATTAATGTTGTTGTGTGTATATATAATCATGTTGGTAAATACAAGTCAAATGTAAAGCTTTAATAATGGCACACACAGTGTACAGTGGAATCACATTGGGATTAATAACAGCATGCTAAATAAAAAATGGTTCAAGATTCATGGTGAAGCCTAGAGACAATAGTGATGTGCTTTTCTAATAACAGGTCTGTACCGGCAATTGAGACTATATGGGGCAACAAACAGGCAGTCCTGACTCTACAGATTTCTACTGAAAAACCTGAGAGATGTGCTCCTCTGTGGCAATATGCATCCAGCAGAGATACTGTCCTATAGCACCTCCAGCATAGCTGTACCCAGGGTGGACCACGATTTGGAGGCTTCATAGATCTTTGGGTGGGAATAAGACTCCATTCCTAGGTCCACATCTTATCTGGTAGCCATATCTCATTATTAGTCTCAAATGTACACAGACTTATTAGTATGTGAGTTGACTGATGCTCAGTATTCACTCTTTTTTTTTTTTTAACTTCCTCTACTGTGTGAGCCTGCTGTTAGGTGAAAAGACGGACATCTGAAAGAACACAAAAAATAAATCTGCATGTTTGTTTTGGGGGAATTATAGGGGGGGGGGGCACCCTGTAAGTCTCTTAGTAAGGAACTGACCTGAGTTAGGGGCTTGGATAAGAAGATACTTTGGGTTTGATTTACTAAAGGCAAATAGGCTGTGCACCATACAAGGCGCAGCTTCACTCTGCAGGTACAATTGCTCCAGGGCTTTGTAAATTAGATAAAGATTCACTTTGCAAGGAATACTCAATCACATGCAAGGAAAATTGAAAAAAAAAGCACTTTTGCATGCAGTCAACAGAGCTTCTGTTCATATATTAAGCTCCAGAGCAACTGCACTTGCAAAGTGCACAGTCTATTTGCGTTTTAGTAAATCAACCCCCTTGTATGTTGTATGCTATAAACTTGATGCACAAATCCCTCTGCGTTGAAACTGTTTATTTTTCTGCTTAAACGTAAAGGACAAACCTGCTTGGATGGTTTTTGGCTGTTCCTGCCTTGTGTATGATTTACTGCTGAATACCAGTTGAGACTGCCCCCCTTACCACTAGGATGTGGGCAGTACTTTAAAGAGACAGACACATTTTGTAGAAAAAAAATAGGAAAGCTTGTAAAACAACTTTTATTGTCAAGCCATAACCAACAGCAAACTAATCAGCTACTGCAAGAGGTGAGCAGCCTAACAGATGGAACAGCTGACTGAATTCCACCAGCTGACTGAAGTTCACAACATTTTCTTAAAGGGACAACAAGTGAATATGTCTCTACAGCAGTAGGTACAGTCTGTGTCAGAGAGGCAGATGGTGACACAGGGGCTGACATCTACACCCAGGCAGCGGATTTAGAGCATTTTACAGCAATTGTTCCTAGAGGTTGATGTTGAAGCTTATCTCAGAATTGCTTTCTTCTCTTGTAAAGTTCAGTAACCAGTGTTTCTCCCAACTTTGGTCAAGAATTTCTTGTACAAACAGATGCCTTTAATGTTGGTCTAGGGCAGTGTTTCTCAACTCCAGTCCTCATGGACCCCCAACAGGTCATGTTTTCAGGATTTCCCTCAGATGAAACAGCTGTGGTAATTACTAAGGCAGTGAAACTGATCAAATCACCTGTGCAAAATAATGGAAATCCTGAAAACATGACCTGTTGGGGGTCCATGAGGACTGGAGTTGAGAAACACTGATCTAGGGGAAGTTTTGTCCTAGGAAATGAATGAGACAGTACATATAGTAGTATGAGCTGGAAACTAACCCCTATAGAGGACCTAGTCAATGGTGGAAAGGGAGTTTGTGGCTATAAAGTGTGTACTAAAGTCGTTGAGATTTAGACAGACAGATTCAATAGATTACAGACCATTCTTCAATACAGTGGGTGGTTTGGAATAAAGGAAACAACGTAAGGATCAAAAGATAGTCTCTGGCTCTGCAAAACTTTGAATTTCATATAAAACACAGGCCAGGGACCCAGCAAGGGAATGCTGATCAGTTGTCACACAATCACTGTGTGTTGATAAATTGTGCTCCTTCCCACATGTCTGTGCTGAGGGGTAAGGTATGTGAGGCGCTGGCTGGGAGAATTGTGGAAAGTGTCCTGGCTCTAGAATTTTTGGCTAATATGAAGATAGAAAACTCATATTATAATCTTAATTTCTTTTCTGTCAGAAGGTTTTGTAAAGGTTTGGATGGGAATAAGCCTCCATTCCTAGCTAGATTTACATATTTCCTGTAGTCAGGAACTGACATGAGTTTAGTTAGTAGATTTGATGAGCACAAGTTTCGTTTGTTTTATGCTTTGGACAAGATTAAAAATATATATTTACAACCTTTGTTGAATAAAAGTGCAGGTCAAACCTGCTTACACTATTGTTAGGTGTTCCTTTCTACTGAATAGTTTATCTCTGCCAATACCGGTTGAGCCTGCCAATCAACCGTAACATTATGATCACCCGCCTAGTACTGAGTAGGTCCCGATTTTTTTTTTTTTTTCCACCCAAACAGCCCTGACTCATTGTGGCATGAAAACTACTAGACTTTTGAAAGTGCGCTGTGATATCTGGCACCAGTAGCAAATCCTTTAAGTCTTGTAAGCCATTGGTTCTTGCTGCTGTCAGTCAAATCCAGTGATGAGGAAGCGGGGCAAAGCATCACTGTGTGTGTCAATAGACACACAGCACAGCTAGGATGATCGAGCCTGCTTCCTATGGTGACACACTGAGAAGAGGAGGATTCAGGAGCTCGGGGGGTGGCGAGAAGAGGATCAGGGATGAACCAAAACCTTTGCAAAAAGCAGGTAAGTATGACATGTTAAAAAATAAATAACTTTGCAACCACTGTAACCTTGTACTAAGACTGTTGACATATATGCATGTACTATGCAGAGCAGTTGCAGGCCACACCAAAGATACAACAAGCACATTTTCTTAACCACTTCCTGTCCGGACACTTTTACCCCCTTCCTGTCCAGGGCAATTTTCAGCTTTCAGCGCTATCACACTTTGAATGACAATTGCGCGGTCATGCAATACTGTACCCATATGAATTTTTTTTACCATTTTTTTGAGACAGATAAAGCTTTATTTTGGTGGTATTTATTCACCGCTGGGATTTTTATTTTTTTTACTATGTAAATTAAAAAGTCCAAAAATTTTGAAAAAAAAGTGTTTTTTTTTTTATAAAATTTTGCAAATAAATAATATTTCATCCTAAATCTTGGCCAAAATTTATTCCGTTATTTTTTTAGTAAAAAAAAAATAATCCAAATTAGTTTATAACCAAACATTATAATTTTTAAACATTTTTTTTTTACATTTTTATATTTATTTTTTTTTATATTATTTTTTTATTTTTATTTTTTATTTTTACATACTGTCACCCTAGCAGTACAGTGTCACCATGGTGACACTGTACTACTTGTGGGGGGTGATGAAGATTTTTTTTTTTTTTTTTTTTTACACTGATTGCTTTTACACCCATATAGGATGTAAAAGCAATCATTTCTCTTTCTCTCTGTCTGCATTCTTGCAGTCATTGAGAAATACTGAGTGAGCTGTGATTGGTCACAGCTTGTCACATGGTACAAGGCTGTTGTGAATAGCCTTGTACCATGTGACCTCTGTGATCATTCACAGATTTCACACGTAGTAAGCAATGATGTCACAAGTGACATCTTGCTTACTACTTTGCATGTGATCACTGATTCGCCAATCAGTGATCACATGACCGGTGAACCTCGTACAGAGGTCCCGTCCGACGATCGGTGTTTCACTGTGTCCGGGGCAACCCGACCTTGGACTGCCACCGCCCTGCCGTTTATAAACAGCAGGCGGATGGCAAGAGGTTAAAGTATTGCATAAAAACACAAATAGATGAACAGAACCAAACGCTTAGGGCCAGTTCACGCCACAAAAAGGCAGCACCATATCAACCCCACACTGTTTAATTTACAGTTCATTATCCCTTTTTCTTTTTTGTATATGGGTGTTAGCACTTTAGTTATTTTAATTGAAAAAAAATCTAAGTAGCTTTTTTCATAATCAACATACAGTTGTCACATTTCCAGCCTGTCTACAGGGAAATATAAGGGGGAGGGGCTTCTAGTCCTCTGCTGCAGGTCAAATGTTCAAAAACAATTGCAGCCTTTGGAGTATAGAGGAAAAATATATAATTAATAACAAATTAAATGTTTTAAAGCATCATACAAATATGTATTTGAACTCATATCTTTATTAGTTTTATGCAAAAACATGATGCAAGCTATCTAGGGGTACGTTCTGCCATTCACAGCTTGTTTAAAAAAAATTTACTCTATATGTCCTAGTGACCAATCACAATGGCTTAAAATGGTAAGAAGAATAAAAAGCCAACATTTTGAGTTGCCTCCATAACAGGAATAGAGGGTAAATTTTCCAGTGAGGACACTTTTTCAGATAACTGCAGAAGAGGGGATTTTTCCTAATTTCTCTGCACTTCCTGTTGTGTCTGCAGGACAGGAAGTAAAAAAGAATCTCCCAAATAGGACACTGATGGCAAGAAAAAAGCCTGACAGTTTTTGACCTTTTGAATTCATGTGACTTAGGCTGGCCATAGATTATCCAATTTTCTTGAGATTTTTGGTTTAGATTTACCAAAAACCATATAATAGGAGGTCAAACCTAAACAACACTTTCAATTGTATCCAATTAGGCGGGTTCTTGCACTACATAGTTGAAGGTAAATCTAAAGGAAATTGGACAGAGAATTGTATAGTGTATGGCCAGCCATACCCTTTACCATTGCCTGTGTAGCCCTAACCTCAACCAGCCTCAGCCACACATGCAATTAACCTATATTGCAATCAAGATATTCAGCTGCTTGTTGGTAGTAACTTGATTTGCAGCAAGCTAAAATCTGTCCTCATGCACACTTGATGTTTTTACAGCTGCTGTTTTTTGGCTTTTGATGTTTTTTTTTTTTACAGCCAGTAAACTCCCCAGCATGTTATCCTATGTGTCCATGCACACATATACTGTAATCAACATTTTTTTGGCTTGAAAGAAAAAAAAACAGAATTAGTTGGTTTCTAGAGGATTTTCTTAGCTGTAAAAAATGCTTTAAAGCTGAAAAACATGGCAAAACGCCTCTAACCAGCAGTTTTGGACTTTTTTTGACCAAAAAACATTATTATTTTGTAAGAAAAACCTCTAAAAAAAATGCTGTAAATGCGGAAAAAAACGCAGGAAAATGCAGCTAAAAGCCAATGCAAAAAAAAATAGCTGGAAAACTCAAGTTTTTAACATGACTTTACACAGCTAACGTTACCAGTGTTATGAAAGCGTCCAGTGTGCATGAGGACTCAGTGTGTGTCTCATAAAATGATTAGCAACATTCAGTTAAATGTCTACATTAGCAAAGAGAGAACTATGTGAGTAAATTTTAGTAGCTCAACTGTGCTAATATATTCACTAGCAATTAATTGCTAAACAGATAATATGGTGTAAACTAGCCAGCATGTTGCAGGTGGGATAATGTTCCAATCATGTGAGATTGATCACTCCTATATGCTAGGTGTGTAGCTTACACCATAGGAAGCCATTTGTTCTATTTGCTTTGTGATCATTTGCTGTCCTTATCGATTTAATCACTAGTGATTTTTGCAGCATAACTGAGCTAAAAAAAAAAAAAGTAACAGTCGTGTGTTTTTTAGCAAAAGTTTGAAGCAGCTACAGAAACATTCTCATAATTTTTGCTACTAGGAGTTATTGTGTCAAGGAAAGGTTGTGCTAAAGCCATTCAGGAATTTTTTGCTCAGTCAATAGTTAATTTTTTTTTTTATTAATTTCAACGGGCTACCAAATGCACAAGAATGTGTAAAAATGATGGCAGACATAATTACAAATTGCTCTGCACCGTTATGCGGTATCATGCACTTTAGTGGTTGCGAACGCACCCGCGTTTGCGAGATACGTGGCATTTGCACATGTCTTCAGACTGCAGTGAATTCTTGCATGGTGTGAACTGAACCTTAATGCTGACTGACTCACTAGTTCAGCTGGAACTCCATTCCAAGCATCAACTACTCTTTCAGTAAAATAATACTATCTAAGATTAGTTTTTAACTTTCCTCCTGCTAGTTTGAGGTCATGTCCCTATGTATACTGTCCTTCTGAACTATATTCACACCCTTAATGTAATTATTTCCCCAAGACTACACACTAGGTTCCTGAAGTCTCTTGATATGTTTATGCTGCACACCTTTCATTGTTTTTTGCTGCTCATCTCTGGACTTAAAGATACTGCTGGTGATCTTTCTAGCAATTCTATTTACTTTTACCACTGCCTGGCCACACTGTTTGCTCCATTTTGAAAAATTCTGAAATAAGTGCCCCCCCCCCCCCCCCCAGATATTTTTCCTATGTAATTTTGGCCAGCATTGCACCACCAATAATTTATTATATAAAGGGATTATTTTTCCCTAAGTGCATTATTGTACATTTAAAAGCACTGAACTGCAGTTTCACAATGCGCTATACTACACAACACATTTTTTGGTGTTTGAATCCTGATATGGGACATTCAAAATACATTGTAGTGCACTACTCTGTTAAAGCACAGGTGCTGTTCAAAATTAATGGTACCATAATGCAACAAAAACAAGCATGCTGTGTTGCTTTGTATTATGGAATCGCATGCATTTTACCTGAAGGCATTGGTGTGAAAAGCTTTGAATGCTTTAGAACTTTGGTGACTGATTAATTTATAGAAGAGCATTGTTTGTATGACATGCTTGTAACACAATTATGAGCTTCCCTTTATGACAAGGAGTATATTCTATGTTGATTGCAATTATTATTTTAATTTAGAGGTACATTTTTATTTTTGTGCAGTTGGGGAGCCTAGTCTTAAAAATAGCTCAAGGTTATCACATCAATATGAATGGCATTTCATGCTTTTTAAAATGTTTATCATTGTAAAACATTACATGTACTACTATTTTGAATGCTACGCATGCATCGATTATTGCATTAATTACCAATTTTGATAATATTTCTGAATACAATTAAACTGAATAGGTGTATTTAACAATAAAAGTGTAAATGTCAACAGTTTATACAGTAACTAGTCAGTTTGCCTTGTGTGGACAAATGAAAAATAAATGTAGCTGATTGTTTGTTTTATATTGGACCTGACACACTATTGCTATTTATATCCTATTGCTTAATACACCCACATAACTTTCCAGTTTTCAACTCTTTATTCACTTTTTCTTGCACTAAGTGTAAGGCTCGGTTTCCACTGTCGCAACTTGGAATCTGACTTGCATAACATGTGAAATCCCATGTTAGTCAATGAGAGCTTTCTTAATTAGCACTACTGAAGTCACTCCGACTTCAAAAAAGGTTCCTGTACTACTTCAAGACGACTTCTGTCTGACTTGTCCCATAGACTTTAATGGTAGTTGCTTCCAAGTTGGATCCTCATCTATATTGATGTGATTTGGATCCAACACTACAGGAAGATTACCCAAGCATTCCTTAAAAGTTGCTTCAGAGTAGTACTCAAGGTGCCTGGCAAAGTCGTAGTAGTGTGAACTGAGACTTAAAGGGTCATATTCTAATAACTTCCTTTTCCTAATGTGAAGCTCACACCATGTAACAATTAGCCTGTGCTAATTATATTTCCTGGGATAAGCTGAATGACCTGTTTGTTTCTGTTATATTCAACATATAAATAGTCAAGTCTAACATAAGAGGTCATACAGTCTATGTATTTTTATAATTATTTCTAAGAAGTATAATTTAATATGAGAACAAAGGGTGGACTGCAGTAAACAAAAGTCACATCATGAATGAGCACATTGTTCTGAATTAAAATAGTTTTTGCATTATAATCTTATTATATGTGAGCCTATTCTAATGAATATCTAAGTATTAATAAGATCCTACACATTGTATTTTTTTTTAATTCAATAAGTTGCTAGATTTGCAATATTTGCATATTTTTTTTGTGAAAGTCAATTCACAAGGTTTATCACAGGAGTTTTGCTCTTATAAATATCTCTCCTAGCTTCTGGCTGATGTTAAAGGCCAATGGTACATGTCAGGAACAATCAACAGTTTATTTCAGGATCGTCAGAATGTACAGGCCTTCTTTTTCAGTTGTTGAAGGAAGCTGCTTTACTAATTCATGTTGCCATGTAGAGGGTCCAGAGCCAGACTAATACATACTGTTCAAGTCTCAATGCTAGGGTCCAAAATTGCCCCTTTAAAATGAATGAGAGGTCTCCAAGTAACCGAGAGTATGCGTTTTGCTAATTGAAAAGCTTCAGCTCTGACTTAGTAGAGGGGGTGAGGATCATTGCAGCTTGATTCACACGAAGCCCAGTGGTCCCGATTTGCAGCTGCTGCCTGGCTGTTTGGAATTTGTTAAGCAGCTAAAGATTATTCCTACACCTACAAGCATTTAAAGTTTGACTATTTTCAAAACCCTGACTTAACCAATTGCCCTCCTGAGGATTTACCCCCCTTCCTGACCAGGCCTCTTTTTGCTACTCGGCGCTGCACTAATTCAACTGATAATTGTGCGGTCATGCAATGCTGCACCCAAACGAAATTTACGTCCTTTTTTTCACACAAATAGAGCTTTCTTTCTGTGGTATTTGATCACCTGTGCACTTTTTATTTTTCACGCTATAAACAAAAAAAGACCAAACATTTTGAAGAAAAAGGATATTTTTTACTTTCAGCTATAAAAAATATATAGTAAACTCCAAAGTTGGTTATAAATTTAGGCCAACATGTATTCTGCTACATGTCCTTGGTAAAAAAAAAATCCCAATAAGTGTATATTGATTGCTTTGTGTGAAAGTTATAGCGTCTACAAACTATGGTATAGATACTGCAATTTACGCCATTTTTTTTGCTATTCAGCGCTACGCTAGTTTAACGGACAATTGCGCGGTCATGCAATACGGTACATAAATAAAATTTTATGTCCTTTTATTCCCACAAATTGAGTGTTCTTTTGGTGGTATTTGATCGCTTGTGCGTTTTTTTTTATTTTTTGCGCTATATAAAAAAAAAGCTGAAATTTTGAGAAAAAACAATATTTTGGGCTTTTTTGCTATAAAATATGTCCTGTAAAAAAAAAATGTAAAAATCAAATTTAGTCATAAATTTTCTGCCAAAATGTTTTCTGCGACATGTCTTTGCTTAAAAAAAATCCCAATACGTGTAAATTAATTGGTTTACATGAAAGTTATAGCGTCTACAAATGGCAGGAAAGATACTGGGATTTTGTTTTTTCATTATACTAATAATGGCGGCAATCAGCGACTTATTGCGGTGATCAGCAATTTATGACAGTGATCAGCGACTTATGGCGGGACTGCGGCGGAGATTTTGACACTGGGGGGAACTGACTTGGGGTCACTGACATCCCCAGTGACACCAATATAGTGATCAGTGCAAAAAAAAAACAGACTGTACTAATGGCACTGGGGAGGAAGGGGTTAACTTTTATTAGGTAATGAAAGGGTTAACTGTGTGAGGGGAGTGTTTTTACTAGGGGGCGGGGTGTACTTCACAGGAACAAGTTGAGGTGCTCTGAACTGACAGCAGAGGTGCAATGTAAACACTGCTGCCATGCTATCTGTCAGTGATTACTTGTAATCGCTGGCA